TATATACATACCAGGTATGATTTTCGCCCCTCACCCTACACTTATACAATAGCACTGTCCCATGTTTATTACAAAAATCAGAATAGTTCAAAAGGTAAGGTGAAAACACTCCTTGATCAGTCCTCCATCATATCACCCCCCCATCGACCTCAGCCCTGGCCTGTATGGGGTCGATCTCCTCGTCCGAATCGGACTCCACATCTGAGTCGATGTGCATGTTCTCCTCATCTGTTGGAATATCATTCTCGATCGGCTCCAAAAACTCAGGATCAATGCCAAAGAGTTCCCTGGCATGGTCATTCAGAGGGTAGCGCCTCTCGACCTCGCCCAACTGCATATCAGTAGAAACATGGCAGCCATTCTGGTGTCTCAGCATCTCCAGGCCATACATCCTTGCCATGATAAGCTCATCTCATCTGTGGCGCTCAGTAGTGGTGAGAGTCGGGCCAAACTCAGTGTCAGACCCCTTTGTGTGAGTAATGTCCACCGGTGCCGGATAAAGTGGTGCCATGTAATCTACGTTCTCCTCAGGGACACCTGCAGCATGACACATTTTGGTAATCAGACCACCAAATGCATACATATGCCCTTTGTGAACCCGTGCCTTCCGCATAGAAGATTTTATGATGGCTCCGATCTTCAGCTCTTTGCCAGTCATCAAAGCATAAACCAGGCACACTAGGTCACGAGTGATATTAGTGTAATGTAGGCCCGGGATCAGACATTTCATCACCACCTTCAGCCAAACATGTTTCTCCCGCAGCATGTGAGCGTAGGGAAAAGATTGATGATATCTCTTCCCACTGTGCTTAGTCCATTGAGCCATGGACAGTGGCCCGCAAAGCATGTGGCAGATGGCCTGTTATGGAGGGAGTATGTTCAGCCCTATCAGCACTAGTGGGTCGGTGTCCTGCGGTGTACCCAATATATCATTAATACTTGTGGGAGTGATGGGCACATTCCTACCAAGCACTGTCAGATAGTGGGAACGTGCCTCGGGCGCCCAGTTGGCGTAAAACTCCCGGACCATGTGCAAGTTACACTCGTCTGGGTCAGCAAAGATGAACTCGATGCCAAGCTCCCTAATTCGCCTCAGGATCTGGGGGAACTCACGTGCCAGACTGTCCCTGTCAACACAGACATCAGAGAAATAAGTGACCTCGATGTGCTTCTTAAACCAAGCCTTTCTTTCTTTGGTGACAGCCTTCACCCCAAATCGCCTAGTGTGACCCCTGGGAAGTGCCGGTGCAGGTGGGCCATTTCCACTCCGGACACGTTTCCTATTGCTTGATGTGGCCACTTCCTTGCTGGGTCTTTGTGAGCTAGACATGGTTACCTGCCAAATATACCAAAGTTTAGCCCACGTGACTGCAAAATAATGAGAAAAATATGGGTGGTGTGCGCACACCACACTTAGTTCAATGCAGTCTCATCTTAGGTACTCAGACTTCCCAAAATTGACCAACAACAGACTCAAGTAATCCTCACGTTCATCTAATTGGATGGGTATCAGAATATTAGGTATAACCACGCAACAGTTAGGTAGTGTTACTCAAGACTTCACACAAACAAGATAGACCCCGGACTACAAACTATCACCTAACCATATCACCTAGCAAATTTGCAATGAGAGCATATTGAAACACTTATTCGACCTCACTAGTTGAAGCATTCTAACCTCCATATTGCCTCTAACAACCAAACTAAAGCAAATCACCCTAAACTCTACATCAATCATCATCCATTCAGAAAACAAAACCTTACAGGCATGCATAACCAACATATCTTGACACAATCAATGCTAGAACAACAACAATGAAAATTAGGTGACTTGTACTCAATAATTTGAAATCACGGATAACCACAATATCGCTTATAGCATCAATAAACAATTAACCAAGGTACATTATACTCAATGATTCAAATATACCCACTAAAAATTTGATCAAATACTCCCAACCATGCTTAACCTACATACTACACCCTATCAGTTTAACCCAAGAATCTATTAACAGTGTATTTCTACTCAGACTTCGAAACACCCATAGATCAACATGAAACACACGATATTAACAACAGAAAACACACTTCCCAAACCTCCAAAAGACGAGCAACCAATAACCAATGGCAATACACGCTCAACCCTATCCAAAATCGCAAGAACAAAACAAAAGCACGTACCTGGCGATGCGAAGTTGCAGAGAAATGGAGAAGAGCAAGGAGGGTGTAGTTGCGCGACACAGAATAACTTGAAGAAATCGCAGGGGTAAAGGGAAGGGAGAAAGTAGTGAATATAGGGGAAAAGGGGGAAAGGATGGGAGAATTAGGAGGAGAAATCGGGGTTAAAAAGGTTGGGGTCGGGTAATTTTCAAAGAGAACAGGTAAAACCTGGTTATTTAATGAAAAATGAAAATTACTCACATGAGGCGCAATGCGGGGTTGACACGGAGTCCACTGGAAATTTAAATCCAGACAAGGCCAATATTTGACCCTTGCTCTGCGTCGCGGGGTTCGCATGACCTTGCCTCCTTTTTGACATAAAAGTAACTTATTGTCAAAATCGAAATTCTAAGCCCCCTTCGCGACGCGGCTAGTACACGGAGTCCTCTGCCTCAAATGGTATCAGGTGAGGCATAATTATCCCCCGACTCCATGACGCGCTCCTTACACGGAGTGTTTTTCCTCAAACTAGACCCGACGAGGCAAAATTCGACACCATCTGCGCGACGCGTTAGCTCCACGGGTTGCCTCCCGTGTAGCGCCTGATTTAACGTCGCGGCACAACCCATCTCATAACTCATTCGTCATTTAATATGAGCGTTTCAAACTCACGATCCACATCATTCCCGAAATAGTGTTTAACCCTTTGACCATTCACAAGGAAAGTACAGCTCTTATCCTTGTTTCTTAACTCCCCAGAACCATGTTGGGTCATCCTCACCATTTCAAAAGGACCACTCCACTTAGATCGAAGCTTTCCGGGAAACAACTTCAACCTTGAATTGAATAGCAGCAATAGTTGACCAGGCTCAAAGGTGCGCGACACAATATGTTTGTCATGCCACATCTTGGTCTTTTCTTTATACAACTTTGCATTTTCATAGGCATGGAGCCTATATTCTTCAAACTCGTGTAGCTGTGTTATTCGCTTCCTACAGGCTAACTCAATATCCAGATTTAGCTTCTTGATTGCCCAATATACTTTATGCTCCAATTCAGCTAGTAGGTGACAAGCTTTCCCAAACACCATTCGATAAGGAGAAGTCCCTATCAGTGTCTTGTATGCAGTCCGGTATGCCCACAAGGCATCATCTAGCTTGTCAGCCAAATCTTTTCTTTGGGCATTCACAGTCTTTTGGATGATCTGTTTGACCTCCCTATTCGACACTTCCACCTGCCTACTAGTTTGGGGATAATATGTTGTAGCCACTTTGTGTCTCACTCCATACTTGGCTAACAAATTATGCACTAAATTATTAATAAAGTGCGTACCTCCATCACTGATCATAGCCCTTGGAGTTTCGAACCTAGTGAAGATGTGTTTCCGGATGAACTTCACAACCACTTTTGCATCATTGGATAGTAGTGCAACTGCCTCCACCCACTTAGATGGGTAGTCCACTGCACCTAGGATGTATTGATTACCACAGGACGATGGGAATGGTCCCATAAAGTCTATCCCTCATACATCAAAGATCTCAACCTCCAGTATGTTGCTCAATGGCATCTCATGCCTCCTCGAAATGGTGCCCATCCTCTGACACTGATCACAACCTTTCACAAACAAAGCAGCATCTTTAAACAGAGTAGGCCAAAAGAAACCAGATTGCAATACCTTATGCGCAATTTGTTCGCCTCCATGGTGTCCACCATATGGTGAAGAGTGACAACTCTCCAACACTTCTGTCGCCTCCTGCTCATCTATAAACCTTCTCATCATCATAAAATTCACAATATCAGCATACCAAGGCACTTGAGCAATGTCCAAAGCAAGCAATTTCTCATCAAGAAACTCTTCACGAATCTGCCTCTCATTCTTCACGTGAGTTGAACCTTCCAGTCTGGACAGATGATCAGCTATTTGGTTATTAGGTCCCTTCATGTCCCTTATCTCAAGATCAAACTCTTGTAATAGTAGAATACACATAATCAGCCTCGGCTTGGCATCCTTCTTGTTAAACAAATAGCGGATTGCAGCATGATCAGTGTAGACTATAACTTTGGTTCCCACCAAGTATGATCTGAACTTGTCAAATGCGAATACTAATACCAGGATCTCTTTTTCAATCACAATGTAATTCGACTGAGCTGCATCAAGTGTCTTGCTCGTATAGTAGATGGAATGGAACATCTTTTCTTTTCTCTGCCCAAGTATTGCCCCAACGGCTATGTCACTGGCGTCACACATAAGCTCAAAAGAAAGCTCCCAATTTGGAGCAATCAGAATAGGAGCTTCAATCAACTTCTTTTTCAGCAACTCAAATGCCCGCAAACACTTTTCATCAAACACAAACTTCATCTTTTTCTCTAACAAGCTACACATAGGTCTTGCAGTCTTAGAAAAGTCCTTGATGAACCTCCTATAGAACCCAGCATGTCCCAGGAAGCTTTTAACTCCCTTTACTGTCATGGGAGGTGGCAGCTTCTCAATAACTTCCACTTTAGCCTTATCAACTTCCAGCCCACTTTTGGAGATTTTGTGCCCCAACACAATGCCTTCTCGAACTAGGAACTGACACTTCTCCCAGTTTAGCACCAGTTTTGTTTCTTCACACCTGGCAAAAACTCTGTCAAGATTAGTCAAGCAAAGTTCAAAAGACTCACCAAACATCGAGAAGTCATCCATGAACACTTCAACAAAATCCTCCACCATATCATGGAAGATTGCCATCATACATCTCTAAAATGTGGTTGGGGCATTGCACAAGCCAAATGGCATGCGCTTGAACGCATCAAGGAAACAGTAGTATTCCTGACCTGCCAACCTATCCAACATTTGATCACCAAACACCGAGAAGTTGGGCAAGTGAATGTAGTCTTCTCCTGATCTTCTGGTGCAATGATGATCTAATTATACCCTGAATAACCATCAAGGAAACAGTAGTATTCCTGACCTGCCAGCCTATCCAACATTTGATCAATGAAAGGTACCGGATAACGGTCCTTTCTGGTGGCATCATTCAATTTTCTGTAGTCCACGCAAAATTCGCTACCCAGTCACTGTTTTTGTGGGGATCAACTCATTTTTCTCATTTGTTACCACCGTCATTCCCCCCTTCTTGGGCACACACTATACTGGACTTACCCATTTGCTGTCCAATATTGGGTACACAAACCCTGCATCCAGCCACTTGATTACCTCTTTTCTCACCACATCCTTCATCAATGGGTTTACTCTCCGCTGATGTTGTGCACTCGCCTTATGCCCTTCCTCCATGTATATTTTATGCATGCACATCGCGGGACTAATACCATGGATGTCAGACATTTGCCACCCTAAAGCTACTTTCCTCTTTTTCAAGATGATTAATGAGGCTTCCACCTGTTCATCAGATAATGTTGCAGATAAAATAATCGGTAAAGTTTTATCTTCACCCAAAATGCATACCTGAGGTGGGCTGGCAATGCTTTTAACTCCAGCTTGGGTGCTTCTTCAATGGAGGGCTTGGGTGGAGGACCCAACACCCTATTTACAGGCTCACATCGATCTCCAGATGTACCTACAAATGCCACATGTAGAAATTGCACAATTTCATGTGCCTCAGCATCCCTATAAATATCATCCCCTACTAACACTCGCTCTAGAGGATCCTTAGATGCAATGTAGCGAGCTTCTGCCTCAAGATCTATCACAGTTATGGCAGACAACTCTTCATACACACCTGGCAGTTTTAAAGCTTTATACACATCGAAAACCTCCACCTTATCATGGGCCCGCATAGTGAGTTTCCCAGCTCCTACATCTAGCATCGCCCTCCCAGTAGCCAAGAAAGGTCTTCATAGGATGAATAGAACCTCAGGGTCTGGCTCAAAGATCAGCACAACCAAATCTATTGGGAAAATCAATGACCCCACTTGCACTAACACATCCTCTACAACACCCTCAGGCCTAGCTACAAATCTATCAACCAACTGTAAGATAATGGTAGTAGGTTTGGGACTACCCAACCCCAACTTTTTGTACAAAGAAGTCGGCATCAAATTTATACTAGCTCCTAGATCACATAATCCTCACGCATGAATGCTCTGCGCTATAGTGATCTGAACCGTAAAGCTACCTGGCTCTTTCAATTTAGTGGGCAACTTATTTTGGATTCTGGAGCTGCACTTTTCAGTAAGTGCAACAGTCTCATATTCTGTCAGCCTCCTCTTATTCACCACAATCTCCTTCACGTATTTCGCATACCTGGGTCTACCCTGCAAAACATCTACCAATGACAAGTTAATGTGAACTTGTTTTAAAAGAGAGAGAAACTTACCAAAACATTCATCCTTCTTCTGCTTCTTGAACTTTTGAGGGAAATGGATGAAGTGGTTTCACAATTGGCTACACTCTTTCTTCTTGTGCAACAACTTCGCCCTCCTTGGGTTCACTCTCTTTATTCACAGCATCATTGTTTATTTTCTTAGGAGCTAGCTCCTCCAATTGTAAACCAATGCGAGTACCTACTGCATTTACTTGCTTGGGATTTGGGTCAGTGTTACCCGGCAAAGCTCCTTGTGGTCGTGAGTTCTGGGCACTAGCCAGCTGCCCGAATTGCTTCTCCAGATTCTATATAGCTAACTTATTGCTAATTGCATCAGCAACTAATTGGGCTTGATCAGCCATAATCTTTTTCAGCATCTTCTCCATGCTCATGTTTCCAGATTGTTGTTTAGGTTGCTCCCGTTGGGCTTGTTGTTGGTACCCCTGTGTATTTCCTTGGGGTCTATACTGATTCTGGCCTTGACCCTGATTTTGATTTCCACCCCAAGAAAAGTTCGGGTGGTTGCGCCAACTTGGGTTATATGAGTTCCCATAATTTTTTTGGCCTCCTCCTCGTTGGGCATTACCTACAAAATTCATAGAGTCTGGGTTTGCACCACATACCTCTGCACTATGATCACCACCTCCGCAGATCTCACACCAAGATAGTGGTTGTTGAATTGCATTTACCTGTGCGGGCTGTTGTCCCAATGCTAAATTGCTGAAGTGAGTGTTCATCATATTCTGCATAGCAGCAATCTGTGCAGTCAAGGCAATCACAATATCTACCTCTAACATACCCGCCGTTTTTTGAATCACAGGTTTCATTCCTCCTCCATTCCATTTAGGGTTTCCCTGAGAGATCCTGTTCAACAAGGTGAATAGTTCAGCATATGTCTTCACCAAAGCATGTCCACCTGCAGTTGAATCAAGTAGAATCTTGGTGTTAGGCTCCAATCCTTCAATGAAGGTATGGACCAACACCTCATTAGATTGGTGATGATGAGGGCAGCTCATCAACATCGATTTAAACCTGTCCCAAGCTTGGTACAAGTTTTCTCCCACTTTCTGCCTAAAGCTCAAAATGTCACTGCTCAACTTAGCTGTTTTTCCAGATGGAAAAAATTGGATGAGGAACTTTTGTGCTAGATCATTCCAAGTGGTAAATGAGTTTGCGAGCTCTGAGTTCAACCATCTTTTTGTTTCCCCAAGCAGAAAAAAAGGGAATAAAGTGAGCCTCACATAATCCACATTCACTTCAGCTGGAGTGTATGTATCATTGATCTCGGGGAATTTCTGAATGTGAATTGTTGGATCCTCATGCGGCAGATCAGTGAACTGCCCATTAGTGTGCAGTAGTTGCACCATAACAGGATGTCACATTGGTGGGACGTAGGATTGCCACGTCTCTTACTCTCAACTCAGCCATTATTTCAGGTTATTTTACCTCAACTCTTGATGCTGGAGATGTTGGTTCACTAGCAACAACAGGGACCGACTAAGTAAGTCGTCTTTGCCTTCTCCGGTAGTGAACAAACCTTTTTGGTTCAGCTATAGGCGATACCAATCCTTGATCGTCGTCCAGTTAAAGACTTCAGATTAACCTGCAACAATGAATAGCTAATATCAAGTTGTCAACACTTGCTTTTTAATATCAAAAATTAGAAAAATTAGATAATTTCTAATTCTAAAGTCCCCGATAGCGGTGCCAAAAACTTGTTGCGGCCAAATCGCACACGCAAGTGCACGTGGTCGTTCAAGTATTAAAGTAGCTCTTTTTAAGAGCCGGGTATCATACCAATAGGGACTTACGCTTAGAATTACTTAACTTCGCTAACTTTCAGCTAAACACAAGTGTATTCAAGATTTCAAAAGTGATTTAGTTTCTACTTCTAAGATTATAACCAAATGTAACAAAAGTGATTTAATTTCAAGGGTCTAAAAATAGTGATTAGGTAAAGTTCAGGGTTGCAGATTTTAATCATGAATCATACAATCAATATCATTTATATGGATAATTATCAATTATTGAATCAATGAATCACAGGGTTAAATGTATGATCATGGTCTCCTGACCTCTAATCGCCTATGATAAATAACACTCTAACTACATCGTTGAGCGGTGATAGAATGGATTAAATATTGAGCATTGCGATTTCTTCATGTATGGTGACCCAAGCATGGTTTCTAGGTATATCCCTATCCTAGATACAAATTAACCCTAGTTATTTAGAATTAATCATGCTCCTTATGCCTCACGTTCTATCCTCTTATTCCTCTCCCGAGTTCAATTTAGACAATAATTTTATTTCAATGGTGATCAGTCACAAAATACGGAAAGCAAGAACATACAAAAGATTCATATGATAATTGACATTAACCCAATAACAAAATTAATAAATTACAATCATCATGTAGCCACAACTCTAGAACTAGGGTATTTAGCTACTCATAATCCAATAATCGACCAAACAATGTTTTATAATCATAAAGAGATCGAAAGGAAAAGAGTTTGAGAAATAACCCTAACACTAGAGAAAAGGTTATTCCAAATCGTCGTTCTTCAAAACCCAGAAAAAAAAAGAATTAATAAAATAAAATAATGACCTGTTTTTACTAAAAGTCAAAACAGCCAAAACTGGGCACAAGGGGGGTGACGCGGAGGCAATCTCTAATTTTGTTCTGAGATGATTTTCTCTTCTCCGCGACACGGGAGCTGCACGGACCATTCTGCCTAATTCTTAATTTTGCGAATTAATTCAAGACACCCTCTCTGCGACGCAGAGAGGGCACAGAGCACTCTGCCTCAATCTTGGATTCACAAATTAAATTATCATTCCTCTCCGCAACATGGAGAGGATACGGATATGCCTTAACTGACATTCCTCCAGCTTTTTCCTTGCCCTCTTTTGCCTCAGATCTTTTGTATTCCTCCATTGTCCATTTATGAGCTTGTTTCTCCAATTAAGCTTACCTACACAACTAATCATGTTGGTTAGCTCATAGACAACCAAAACACTCAATAAAACTACAAACGAACACATATTGAATTCAAACTAAGCTTAAATGCGGGCAAAATTAGCTTTGTAGGCATATAAATATGCCTTAGATCATCCACCCTTTTATCGTTCAAGAATCTATCTCAAGAATCCATACGGCTTCACTTATTTCCATTATCATTGACCGGGGGAGCTACTAAATGGTTGGTCGAGCTTCCAAACAATTTCATCAAATCATGGGAGGAGCTGGTTATGGCCTTTCACGAAAGATTCTTTCCTCCATCAAGAATGATGAAACTGAGGGACGACCTTCAAAATTTTAAGCAAAAGGAGGGTGAACCAATTCACGAATCATGGACAAGGTTCAAGAGATTTTTGCGTAAGTGCCCAACGCATCGATTGCCAGGTGAATTGTTGCTCCAATACTTTTACCATAGTCTGGATTCAGTTAATAAAGGGATAGCTGATCAATTGGTGCAAGGAAGAATAATGTCACAATCATTTGAAGTAGCCTCATTTCTCCTAGATGGTATGAGTAAAGTAAACCAGGCATGGTACACCAAAGATGATTAAGTTTCCCCATTGTGCTTCAGATTAACACAAGAACAACTCGATAAAGAAAAGGAGAGGGATGAAAACATCATAAATATGTTGTCTCAAATGAAAATTCTACAAGAACACATGAAGGGGACATATGGAGTATTTCGAGTTGAAGAGGGTTCTTCTTCCAGTTACTCAAGATCGGGGGAGAATCAAGGTTGGAAATACAGAAGATACGAGGAGGGTTTCCACCCACGCTATCAACAGCGGGGCGGAAATCAAGGTTGGAACTATTATAGGGGTGAATAACCAAGGATATATTGGCAAGATTGGGCTGAGCAGGAAGATCATGAGGAGGACCATACTCACTTGAGTGAAAGCTCAAAATCTAAAGGGAGTGCAAGTAGTCCTTGAGTAAATGATTTATTGTCACGCATACTCGATAAAGTTGAGGGCTATGATGATTTGCTAAAAGGGATGAAAGATGACTTTTCATCATTGAACAGTAAAGTGAATTCTCATGTTGATGCCATCAAATTGCTGGAAGGTCAATTGAGTCTATTATCAACTCAATTAATGTCCAAAACACCAGTGGAAGATATTGAAAGAGAGCTGGTTGTAGTTACCTGTAGCGGAAAGGTGGCAATAGGGAATGTGATGGAAGATGAGGATCCTCAAAAGCATGAAGAGAGTCAATGTATGGAGGAACAAGAATTACCTATTCGACAAAACCTTGCCAAAGAACCACAGGAGGAAGCGGAGCAACAAGTTCAAGTTCCAAAAGTCATGCACCATTTACCCAAGATACCTCCACCATTTCCCTCACACTTGAAAAAGAAGAATGAAGATGAGAAATTCAAAAAGTTCTTGTCAGTGTTCAAGAAATTATCCATTAACCTCCCTCTGGTGGAAGCATTGTTGGAAATGTCGGGATACGCCAAATTCATGAAGGAGCTAGTTACAAAGAAAAGGAGCTTGGACTATGAAACTATTGAAATACCCCATAGTTGCAGCGCAATTATGACAAAACAGCTAATCACTAAAAGAGATGATCCTGGGGCATTCACCACCCTGTGCACCATTGGTATGCTACAATTCGCTAAAGCTTTGTGCGATTTAGGACCAAGCATCAACTTAATGCCATATGCAATATACAAGTATCTTGGTTTAGGTGAACCAAAGGCAACCACAATGAGACTCATTATGGCGTATCGATCAATCAAGCATCCAGTGGGGATACTCTATGAAATCTTGGTAAAAGTAGATCGGTTCATCTTTCTGGCTAATTTTGTGATTTTAGATTGTGAGATCGATGCTGAAATCCCCATTATTTTGGGAAGACCATTCTTAGCAATCGGGAGGGCATTGGTGGATGTCGAAAGCGAGAAATTGAAGTTCCGGGTGAACAATGATGAGATAACCTTCAATATTTGCAAATCCATGAAACAACCAAGCGATATCCATATGGTGTCAACTGAGGATGTTATAGATGAAGCGGTGGAAAGTGTGAGCCATTTGATGCGAAAGAATGAACCCCTTGAATCTGTGCTTGCTAAATATGATGAATCTGAAGTTCAGGGCTATGATGAAGTGGTAGATGCCTTATCGGGATTAGGAGTATATTCAAGGAATCCAATCAAGTTGGATATCGACCTGAAAAACTGAGAAAGTCCTCCTGCAAAGCCATCAACTGAGGAACCACCAAATTTGGAGTCAAAAGCACTACCCTCTCATCTCAAATATGTTTTCTCGGGAGCCAATAATACTTTACCCATGATTATCGCAGCTGACTTGCTTGAAAGGCATGTGAACTTGCTCATTGAAATACTGTAGAAACATATAAAAGCTAAAGGATGGACCATAGCTGATATAGTGGGCATTCCTCCTAGTATCTATACGCACAAGATTCGGCTTGATAATGAATGTAAACCTAGTGTGAAACATCAACGGAGATTGAACCCACCAATGCAAGAGGTAGTGAAAAAAGAGATTACTAAGTGTTTAGACGCGGGAGTAATCTACCCGACTACAGATAGTAAATGGGTAAGCCTGGTACAATGTGTACCAAAAAAGGGAGGTATCACTGTAGTCCCAAATGCAAAAAAGGAACTCGTGCCTACTAGACCAGTGACTAGGTGGAGAGTATGCATGGATTATCGAAAGCTTAACTCATGGACCAAAAAGGACCACTTCTCAATGCCTTTTATGGACTAGATGATTGACTGGTTATCGGAAAGGGGGTGGTATTGTTTTTTAGACGGGTACTCCAGCTACAATCAAATCTCTATTGCACCTGAAGACCAAGAGAAAACCACTTTTAATTGCCCTTATGGAATTTTAATTCAAAAGGATGTCATTCGGGTTATGTAATGCCCCAGCGACATTTCAGTGTTGCATGTTGTCTATTTTTGCGGATATGGTCGAAGACTCTATGGAGGTATTCATGGACGACTTCTCAGTTGTAGGGTCGTAGGGGATACATTTGAAGAATTCTTGACACACTTAGGGAAAGTGCTCCAAAGATGCATGGAAACAAATCTGGTTTTGAATAGGGAGAAATGTCACTTTATAGTGAAGGAAGGAATTGTTCTCGGGCACAGGGTATCGCAAAAGGGGCTGGAAGTTGACAAGGCGAAAATTGAGGTTATTGAGAAACTACCCCAGCCGATTTCAGTGAAGGGTGTTCGCAGTATCTTGGGGAATGCAGGGTTCTACCAAAGGTTCATTAAATACTTCTCAAAGATTGCACACCCACTATGAAAACTCTTGGAGAAGGAAGTGAAGTTCTATTTTGATAATGCCTGTAGGACTGCATTTCAGTATCTGAAA